CCAATGCGGTTTTATTTGTTTTTTATCATATATGATGAATATTTGTATCGTTTACAATATGTATACAGTAGAACGTTCATAATGTTTCATGGAACTGTGATACATGTGTCAGTAATGTGTCTACAATATATGTTTATTGTCGCAATATTACCTGTTAAAAATTAACTAAAATTACAATATGTACAGTTTCACACACTATTTACACAGTAACATACTGTATTACACACTCAGTACTTCGGAAGTGAGTAATAATCAATGAAGTAGTCCATGGTACACAGCACGACTTCGCTCTCAGTGCACCAGGTACAGATAAATTTTCGCTTCCTGTTTCTTCATTCTGTGTGCTTGCAAATAACGCACTCACGTACACCCTTGGCTTTAGTACTTGTAGGTTGTATGTAGCCAAGCTTGTAAAGCATAAGGTAGTATAGAAAAGATTATAGGAAAAGATCAATTTGTAAGGTAAGTCTTGAAAAGATCACTTTGTATGGTCCCACACAGGAAGAGATTAAGCCTGCCTCAAAGAGTGTCCGTCATTCAGAAAGAGATTCAGCTAGCCTCAAAGAGTGTCCATCAGTTAGGAAGAGATTCAGGTATTCTTGAAAATATCTATGGAAAACACCACCATGGAAGCCGCTAACACGGTTCATCTATGCTACTTGTATCAGAAGCATCATCACTGAACGTAGAAAACGATTCATCTATGTATCAACTAAATAAATTGTAGATAGCATAGGATTGCAAGGGTGATGCTCAGAGCTAACCCTGGATAACCTTTCAGAGCAGGAGAGATCGCTATATCGTCCTCATAGGTGCTGTATCACTTGCATCCGACCTTTGTGTTAGATCCTTATTGCCCCTAGCTTCACCAATATCATGACCCTTAAGTTCTTCAAACAATAAGGTTGGAATTTCACCGACAGAGCGTCATCTTTCAACACCGCGTCAGACAGGTGTTTGGGAGCCAGAGGCGCGTGCGCCACCCATGGTTGCTCATTCAGTACTTACCCAGCCAGCAGCACTAGAGCATCCTGGGAATTTTTTCCAAGATGGCTGCCTCTGACTGGAGGTCCTAAGAGTTCATTTCGTACACAACCAACCTTGTACACATTTAGAATTGGTACCGAAAAATCAAAAAGAGTTTTCTCGGTTGGCGCAGAATCCCGCCGACCGAGAATACTCGGTTGGCGCAGTATCCCGCCGACCGAGAATACTCGGTTGGCGCAGTTAAGTGGTTAAATATAATACAGGGTACAAAACACAGTCAAATGTGCACATAGTAGGAAAGCAGCATGTAAAGGATTTGGAAATAATGATGTCTGACGACCTAACGTTTAGGGAGCATAACCCAGCAAATATTGCGTCAGCCAGAAAGATAATCGGATGGACTACGAGAACTTTCAAATCCAGGGATCCCATCACAATGGTTGTACTCTTCAAGTCACTTGTGTTGTCCCATCTTGAGTACTGCTCAGTACTCCCTTCCTCCCTTCAGAGCAGGAGAGATTGCTGAAATAGAGGGAATACAGAGAACATATATGGCATACATAGATGCAATAAAGCACCTAAATTATTGGGATCGTCTCAAAGCTCTCCAAATGTACTCATTAGAAAGAAAACAGAGATATCAAATAATATACACGTGGAAGACACTGGAGGGCCAAGTACCAAATCTACACAGTAAAATAACAACATACTGGAGTGAACGATATGGAAGAAAATGCAGAATAGAACCAGTGAGGAGCAGGGGTGCCATAGGCACAATCAGAGAACAATGTATAAACATCAGAGGTCCATGGTTGTTCAACTCCCTCCCAGCGAGCTTAAGAAATATTGCCGGAACAACCATGGACATCTTCAAGAGAAAACTAGATCATTTTCTCCAAGGAGTGCTGGACCAACTGGGCTGTGGTGGATATGTGGGCCTGTGGACCGCTGCAAGCAACAGCCTGGTAGACCAAACTCTTACCAGTCAAGCTTGGCCTTGGGCAGGGCTTAGGGAGTAGAAGAACTCCCAGAACCCCATCAACCAGGTGCCCGGAGCAGGGAGGGCATAGGGTGGGGGTGGGGGGTTATCTTGAGATGATTTCGGGGCTTTTTTAGTGTCCCCGCGGCCCGGTCCTTGACCAGGCCTCCACCCCCAGGAAGCAGCCTGTGACAGCTGACTAACACCCAGGTACCTATTTTACTGCTAGGTAACAGGGGCATAGGGTGAAAGAAACTCTGCCCATTGTTTCTCGCCGGCGCCTGGGATCGAACCCAGGACCACAGGATCACAAGTCCAGCGTGCTGTCCGCTCGGCCGACCGACTGGGGAGGTCAGGGACTGGGGTAGGAAGAAAATACAGTGTGAAGCCTGCTAAGAAAGCTATAGAAAGTCTTAACAAAACAACAGAAGACTTTGCATACCCAGATTTTTACCTTAGGGTCTAAGAGATGGTTCGAGGTTATCTTGAATTGATTTTGGGGCTTAGCATCCCTGCGGCCCGGTCCTTGACCAGGCCTCCTTTTTGTTACACACCCCCAGGAAGTAGCCCATAGCAGCTGTCTAACTCCCAGGTACCTATTTACTGCTAGGTTAACAAGGGACATCAGGGTGAAAGAAACTCTGCCCATTTGTTTCCGCCTCCACTGAGGATCGAACCCGGAACCTCAGGACTACGAATCCGAAGCACTGTCCACTCAGCTGTCAGGCCCCCCCCCTCAGATGGTACATCAGATGGTATATCTGATGGTACTTGAGATTTTTTGTCATGATCCTTGCAAAAATGTTATATTGTACCATTAATCATTTCTGTTTCAGGAATCTGGTAATAACGTGGGTTTAACACCCATAAAGAGGTTTGTGTAAATAGAGTTTTGTGGTAGAGTAACACCTCGGCTTGCGAATGCCCCTATTTATGAACTTTTTGGGTTACAAGCCCAATTTCTTTGTAAAATTTTAATCGGGTTACGAGGTTTCCCTCTAGTAATGTTGTTTAGTGATACGAGTATAGGCGGCCTAGCGCGTTGTTCCTGGTAGCACGGTCAACCACGCTTCAGTTTACCAGTGCCTCCCACTTAGTGATGATCGCGTCTGAATTCTTTGTAAAGATTTTCATTGTTTTTTTGGGGTTTTGAACATAACAGTAATTATTATATATCACACCATGGGTCCCAAGAAAGTCAGTGGTAAGGTTCAACATAAGAAAATAGTTGTGAGTAATGGCAGTAGAGGATGTCCCTTTCTCATTAAGAAAATGTGTTAAGTATGGGAAGAACTGCAAAGTTTTGTTGAAAACACTCGCCCAGATACAACTGTAGCAGGCCATTGCATTGACCTTTTAAATGACAATGTGATGTCTCACTACAGACAAGTGTTAAATTGTAGGGAAAAACTAATGTCTTTAGACAGATTCTTAGTAAGACAAGCAAGCAAGCAGTGAGCCACAACCTAGTGATATGCCTGCAAAATGTAGGAGAGAGTACCCCAGAGAAGTCATTACTGCCTGATGTTATAATGGAAGGGGACTCTCCCTTCCAATAAGTAACACCTCTCCTCCTCACCATCTGCAATACGCCAACAAGAGTCATCAATAGAGGTAAGCTATAACTTGTACATACTATAGTACTAAATATTTGTGTGAATTAGGTGTGAAATGTATTTTGAAGTTAATATTTTTAGGAGTGTGGAATGGATTAATTCAACTTACATTATTTCTTAAGGGAAAATTCGTTTTGGGTTACAAACCATCTCTGGGAATGGATTATATTTGTAAATGGAGGGGCCACTGTAATTAATTGTACTAGCTAGGTCAATTAATCTTTAAAAGCAATTCCTGCAATTGGATAAATTTGTGATATATTGCAATAAACTATTTTATCTCAGCGATAGTTAATGCACTGAATAATTCCATTTAATTAATAACTAATTATTTTTTAAGGTTAGGCTAACCAGAAACTAATTTAATCACCACTGTTTGCTCCATTTAATATTATTTAGTCTTTATTACAAGATCTTAATTTAGATACTGCTGACAGGTTGGTGAGAGCAGCACACCTCCTATTTTGACCTTCCTCACTCCCCATCTTAAACCACTCAAAGAGGGAAATCTTAAGTGCTAATAACTATCTACTACCAACTAGCACTAAGCTGTTTTGTTATTTGTATTTTTTTTAATTTATAGAAGTTAGTACATAACCTCCTCCTCCTCCTCCTAGTTTTCCTAGTATTTGTGAAGAAGTGTTTTAATAACTAAATTTGCAGAGTCAATGGAATCCCAGATTGTATAAGTTATACAAAGTTGTGGTATAAGGGTACAAGGTGCACAGCTGGGCATTCCTTGATTGCTGTTTTGAGTCACCTCGGTGCTCCAAATGATTTTCTCAATACCTGTAATAATAATGATAATTAAAATAATATTAATCAATCATTCATTATTATTATTCTCTTTTCCACTTTCATTGGCTGGGGAGGCATCAGCCCAGTGAAATAGGATTATTATTATAGTGCAAGAAGATCATAGAAATTATTTAAAGTCATTAGCCCATTTATCATCATATACAGTATGTGTGTGTGTATATGTGTGTATATGTATGTATATGTATATGTATATGTATATGTATATGTATATGTATATGTATATATATATATATATATATATATATATATATATATATATATATAATATATATATATATATATATATATATAATACAGTATGATATACTATACTATACTATATTATAAAGCATCATGGATAAAAAGGCACCACCACACTCCAACAGTCATTTGCAGCAGTACTCAATCTCTTCAGATGATCAGGTATAGAGTACTCAGAATAAATTGTCATGTGCAGAACAAATACATTCATTCTCTCCTCGCAAACCACTTCCACCCACCCTTGTCCCTTACCATATCTAGTTCATTGTTCGCATGCAATCTTTGCTGCCTTATTCACTTGCTCACCATATTCATACCGATAAGCTAATGATATAGTACACCTTCAACAATATACATACCTCAGAATAGGTAAAAGCAATATCAAGATGATGGCCATACTGAGGCGTATAAGGATGCCATATCGGTTTCTCAACAATGCGTCCTGACACCCCCATACCATTCAGGATTGTGACGTTCACAATGACTGGCATAGCACCATAGTAAAGTGGTTGTGTACAGTATGGCCACATATACTGACACTCAGTAAGATCTATATAGCTGGGACTCAACGATGCCTGTGGTTTGTACTTAGAAAGGACTTGATATGCTTTCACTAGATCCAGTTTGCCATGTCCCTGCTCAAACATGTTAACACCCGGTAGCCTACGAGCAGAGGCCATCAATGCTTGCTTCATACTGGCAGGGTTAATAATGCCTCCTCGATGAAGAACACCACTGAAAGTTAATAAATTGATTGATTGAAAATATCACACAAATTGTTATAATCAAAGATACTTTAAGAATGCAAATCATAACTAGTCTCATCTATTTGTATGACAGAATATTTTATGCATAAACCAACATTCTTTTCATGGCTGATCATATTCAGATCATGTGTACAAAACATGTGTACAAACATGTGTACAAAACATTACCAAATAAATCGGTCCCACCTTGCCAGAAGGGTGACAGCTCCAGCTACCACAGGCGACGCTACTGAAGTGCCAGACAACTGCCGACACTTCCCTTCCATGCTTGAGCCCTGCACTAAAGAGCCATATGTAACAATGTCTGGTTTGACACGACCATACCTGTTGTAAAAATTAAAAACAATGATTTAATTTTGCAGCAATTGCATACCGAACCTTATTTATTAAAAAATATTTGTTTTAAAAAGATTTATATACTGCATTTTATACTTATCTTCTGATTCCATGTATGACTGGCCATCCTGTGAGGTGGGAATATTGGATGAGCTTGTAGCTGGTTTTTATCTACACTGTATGGTCCTTCATACAGAATAGGATATCAGCACATTACTGTGTATACCTAAGCATGTTAAACAAGAAATGACATTGAGAGGAGTCTTGTAGAAACTGGTAAAAGTACTGTAATTATAATGCAGTAGAACCTCGGTTTTCGAATGCCCATTTTCAATTTTTTTGGTTCTTGAGCTAAATTTCTTCAAAAAATTAGACTCGGTACTCGAGGTTTGCCTCGGTGCTCGAGTTTGTTGAAACAGGTATGGGCCGACTGGGAGCATGGCGCACTTCAGTTTACCAGTGTCTCCCGCCTAATGATGACCTCACTTGAATTTTTTGTGAAGAATTTAATTGTATTTACACTTTTTTGGTTTGTGAACATGAAAAGTTCTTCTTATATATCATGCCATGGGTTACAAGAAAGTCAGTGGTACAGTTCAACCTAAGAAAATAGTTGTGAGGATGACAATAGAGGAAAAACAAGAGATCATTCATAGTGAAACAATGTGATGTCTCACTACAGACAAGTGTTTAAAATGTGGGGAAAAACAAGTGTCTATAGACAGATTCTTAGTAAGACAAGCAAGCAGTGAGCCATAACCAGGTTCTAGTGGTATGCCTGCAAAACCTAAGAGAGAGAGTACACCAGAGAAGTCATCACTGCCTGATGTTATAATGAAAGGGGACTCCCCTTCCAAACACCTCTCCTCCTCCCCCACCCCTCCTTACCGTATTCCATTCATTAACAAGAGTCCTCCATAAAGGTAAGGTACCTATGAGTAGTTTTCTGTATAAAATGTATTTTTTAGTTAATATTTTTGGCAGTGTAGAACGGATTAATTCAATTTACATTACAGGGGGTACCTCAGTTTACGAATTTAATTCGTTCCTGGAAACGGTTCGTAACCCGAAAATTCATAAACCGAAGCGAATTTCCCCATAAGAAATAATGGGAAATGAATTAATCCATTCCTGCCTTTCCAAGAAATTCACTTCAAAGTAAATTTTATACCTAATTCACTCCAAGTCTTCACTACTAAAGTATGTACAAGTTATTACTTACCTTTACTGATGACTCCTGTTGGCACATGGAAGACAGGGAGGAGGAGAGGTGTTAATGCTTTGAAGGGAAGTCCCTTTCCATTATAACATCAGGCAGTAATGACTTCTCTGGGGTACACATTCTGGCACGTTTTGCCTGCATACCACTAGGACCTGCTTCTGGCTTGAGGTTATCTTGAGATCTTGAGATGATTTCGGGGCTTAGTGTTCCCGCGGCCCGGTCCTCAACCAGGCCTCTACCTCCAGGAAGCTGCTCGTGACAGCTGAATAACTCCCAGGTACATATTTACTGCTAGGTAACAGGAGCATCAGGGTGAAAGAAACTCTGCCCATTGTTTCTCGCCGGCACCCGGGATCGAACCCGGGACCACAGGATCACTCATACAGTGTTCTGTCCGCTCAGCCACCAGCTCACTGCATGATTTTCTCATTGTTTTTCTTGAAGATTGTTTTCCCTTCTTTGTAACACTTGTCTGTAGTGAGACATCACATAGTCATTAATAAGATCAATGCAACGGCCTGCTAAAGCTTTATCTGGGTGATTCTTTTCAGCAAAACTTTGCAGTTCTTCCCATACTGCACACATTTTCTTCATTAATGAGGAAGGGACATCCTCTACTGCCTCCTACTCCTCCCCTGAAGATTTGTTATACTGCCTAGCTAGTTCTACAACACGTGTACCATTTTCATGTTTACGAATGATCGCTTGTTTTTCCTCTATGGTCATTCTCACATGTGTTTTCTTGCCTTGAACCTTACCACTGGCTTTCTTGGGACCCATGGCGAAATATATAATAACAACTTTTATGTTCAGCCGAACTTGAGTGGATAGATCTCCCCAAACAGAAACGAGCAAACGAGTATGACGTCAAACGTCACTGCGCCGCCATCTGCGCAGCTCCCCCTTCCCAGGGAGGGGAGAAGGAGGAGCCCCAGACCCCCACGCCAGCCATCCACCTCTCAGTTCTGAGGCTGGACATCAAAAAACTAGGGTTGAATGTAATGAAATGCCATTTTTCTGGGTGAGTCCCAGAGGTATCCTGGAGCCATCCATGGCTGATATGGATACCCTAACTATTTTGCATCAGTCGATGTGGGTGGAGTTCTAGGCCTACCAGGGACCATGAACCAGAACCTGGCCCCAATCACACAGGCATGAAGAGCAATGGCCTATAGAAATGCACATGTGATTTGGAGCATTCTATATCTGCCATCAACTGGGACAGGCACCCAGAAAGGTAAGCGCCACAAAACAAACCTCTATTCTGGTTAACAACAAAAATTGTCAAATGAGTGGACAGAACTCCCCAAAAGAAAAACTAGCAAACAAGCATGACATCACACGAGCTGTGCCGCATGTATGCGCAGCTATCCCCTCTGTGCCGCATGTCTGGCACCCTCCCTCCCTCTGTTTTGATACTCATCCTCCAAACTGAGGTGTGAGTAGCCGGTGCAAGGGAAGGGCTGCGCAGACAAGCGGCGCGGCAGTGGTAAATGACATTTTCTTGTTTGCTTGTTTCCTTTGTTTTCTTATGAGAAGTTCTGTTTCTCTGTTGAATCTTGGCTTTTTTTGCAATTTCTTACCATGTAGAGGTCTGTTTTGAGATGCCTACTTTTCTGGTTGCCTAACCCCAGTTGATAACAGATGGAATACCCCCAAATACAAGCAGGTTTTCCTAAAGCCTTTGCTCCCTGCACCTCAATGTGGGGGTCCATATTCTGGCTAGTGGTTCCCCAGTAGGCAGAACTCCATTGACTGAAGCCCCAGACTAATATAGAGTATATCAGTCTGATAGCTCCAGGGAGCCACTGGGGCTCACCGAGAAAATGGCATTTCATTACATTCAACACTAAGTTTTATACCTATAAATTGTTGTATGAACCTCAAAACACATATGTTCATCACAAATCAAGTTTGAATAGTAATTAAGTATTGATAGGCTTGCTTCATAAGGAAACATACAATACCACTTACCCCTGAGGGAGCTCCCAAGTTGTCATACCCCTCGATGAAAAGCGTGCTATTTGATCTTCAAAATTTATGCCACCAACCCCAATCACATCCATCTGATCCGCTGGATTGTTAAGGGTTCTGGAATAAATCAAACAACCTGTGAACTCAGACAATTCCCATCAAGAAGTATGGGCCACCGACCAAAATTTCAAAGCATGACTGACATGGCATGACTGATTAGCAGTCAAATATGCACCCAAAACAGTGCACAATAGACAAATAATACAAAAGCAGTGAATGAGGACAAAACTCTCCCTGATGAATCATTGTAGAGATCTGAACTGAGAGATATTCATAGTCAAGTAATGAAATATTTAAAGCATCTTGAATCTATAGAATTTTACAGAAATGTTATACAACAGATATTTTGGCTTACTTTGAGATACCGAACATTTGCTTTTGAAGTTTAACAATGATAAATTGTTTATACAAATATTGTAAAGACTGGTATAAGGTATATAAAATTTGCAAATAATATAAGAGAAAATTACATAACACAACAGAAGATATGGAATATTTCCCTGCAACTCTAGCTGTTGGGGCTGTGCTAAGCAATAATGGTCGACTCACAAAACAAGGACCTAGAAAATGATAAGCGAAGTGATCTGTCAACACATACCAAGTACAATGTTTGCAAATCATGTTAACTTTGACCAGGTCCTCTGACCTTGAAAACAGGCTCCAGGACCTATAAATGCTGCCAGCAGTTGGTGATGAAATCAAATATCACCCCCCCTTGCATTTGTACCAAACTTCATAAATTATACCGATGTTTAAACACAATTAAAAAACATTAGAGTCATTTAACAAGTTTGGAAAATGCTTTCCTCTGTATGTAATGTAAATGACTTCATCTTTTTGTTCCAAGTCTCTTCCTTAACCACCGTGCTGCGCGAGTTTATTGTGAAATTCCCCCGGTGCGCATGAAATAAAGTGTTCCCAAAAAATTCTTTTTTCTTCGTAAAATAATAAATTCCCTTCCCTGAACATGTCTATGTAAAAATAAATACCAAATTCCACTTACTTTGGCTGTGGGGACGTGGACAAGGTGCGCTGTGACGTCATCAGGACCTAGTTGCCCAGACACGGTCTTGCGGGCCATTCAAGCACTGGGTGTTGCCACAATTATATTTTCAATTATTTGTTTTATGTATTTCCAATGCGGTTTTATTTGTTTTTTATCATATATGATGAATATTTGTATCCTTTACAATATGTATACAGTAGAACGTTCATAATGTTTCATGGAACTGTGATACATGTGTCAGTAATGTGTCTACAATAAATTTTTATTGTCCCAATATTACCTGTTAAAAATTAACTAAAATTACAATATGTACAGTTTCACACACTATTTACACAGTAACATACTGTATTACACACTCAGTACTTCGGAAGTGAGTAATAATCAATGAAGTAGTCCATGGTACACAGCACGACTTCGCTCTCAGTGCACCAGGTACAGATAAATTTTCGCTTCCTGTTTCTTCATTCTGTGTGCTTGCAAATAACGCACTCACGTACACCCTTGGCTTTAGTACTTGTAGGTTGTATGTGGCCAAGCTTGTAAAGCATAAGGTAGTATTGAAAAGATTATAGGAAAAGATCAATTTGTAAGGTAGTCTTGAAAAGATCGCTTTGTATGGTCCCACACAGGAAGAGATTAAGCCTGCCTCAAAGAGTGTCCGTCATTCAGAAAGAGATTCAGCTAGCCTCAAAGAGTGTCCGTCAGTTAGGAAGAGATTCAGGTATTCTTGAAAATATCTATGGAAAACACCACCATGGAAGCCGCTAACACTGTTCATCTATGCTATTTGTATCAGATGCATCATCACTGAATGCAGAAAATGATTCATCTACAGTATGTATCATCTAAAGAAATTGTAGATAGCATAGGATTGCAAGGGTGACGCTCAGAGCTAAAACTGGATACGCTTGCTGTATCGTCCTCATAGGTGCTGTATCACTTGCATCCAACCTTTGTGCTAGGTCCTTATTGCGCCTAGCTTCACCAATATTATGACCCTTATGTTCTTCAAACAATAAGGTTTGAATTTCACCGACAGAGTGTTATCTTTCAACACCTCGTCGGACAGGTGTTTGGGAGCCAGAGGCACGTGCGCCACCCATGGTTGCTCATTCAATACTAACCCAGCCAGCAGCCCTAGGGCATTCTGGGAATTTTTTCCAATATGGCTGCCTCTGACTGGAGGTCCTAAGAGTCCATTTCGTACACAACCAACCTCGTACACATTTAGAATTGGTACCGAAAAATCAAAGAGAGTTTTCTCGGTTGGTGTAGTTTCCTGCCGACCGATAATACTCGGTTGGCGCAGTTAAGTGGTTAAACAACTGCACTGCCCACTTGTTTCATATAACAACTCAGTAGTGCATACAAAAAAAAAGAGAAAAGCATTGAATGTTGACCAAACCACACACCAGAACGTGAAGAAACAATTATGTTTCGGTCCATCAGCTACTTGGAACAAGTTCCTGGTACAGGAGCGGGCAAGTAGCATGGGCTATGGTGAGCCTGTAGTAGACTTACCTGGCACAGGAGCGGGGCTGTAACTGTCAGTGATGTGATGAGAGGAAGGAGGCAATGGCAATAAATAGGCAAGAGAGAGAGAGAGAGAGAGGTGAGGAGAAGGAAATCTCAGAGGAAGAAAAAGCAAGGCAACAGAAACGGAAGGTAAGGTGTAATAAAGGGGGTAATAATAGGAATAAGGAAGGGGATCATAAGAGAAAACATGAGAAAGAAAAAGATAAAAGGAAGGGTAGGCTTATGTTGGGTCACGTTTGTTAGAAAGTTTAGAACATTTGAGTATATACTGTGAAAGGGAAGAGTCAACAGCAACAAAGCCAGGACTCAGGTTCATGTTGGGTAGGTTGTGTATTGGAGCCGATTCGACAAGACAGCGTCTGTGTAGAGGTAGAAAAGATTATTTTGGAGGAAGACCAATCAATAGGATGATAGAATCCCTAACATGACAGAAGAGAGCATTATTTGTGTCTGCAAACTTAACACTTCTTTTGTGTTCCTTAAGTCTGTCATTAAGTGTACGGCCAGTTTCATCAAAGACAAGACAAACAGGAAATAGAGTAGACACCAATAACCTTCTGACGTAGGAGGAGCAGTGTGAACTAGATTGCTATGAAGAGTGTTAGTTTGTTGAAAGGCGAGCTTTATGTCAAGAGGACGAAAGGTATTAGTAAAGGTTTTTAGTTCAGATATGAAGGGAAGGCAGAGCACAGTAGGTTTAGCTTGAGAATAGGCACAATTGATAAAATGTAAAGGGTAACCAAGGCGAGAGAATGATTTGTAAATAAAGGAAATTTCAGAGTCCAGAAACTGAGGGTCGCTGATATGTAGAGAGCGGAGGAAAAGAGAGACGAGGACACTTTTCTTAACAGAAGGAGGATGGTAGGTAAAGAAGTGAATGTACATGCCACTATGCATGGGTTTGCGATAGACAAGAGAAAGAGAACCCGGACACAGAGGTGTGAACATGAACGTCAAGGAAAGGAAGGAGGGAATTAGATTCCCATTCAACTTTTAAATGGATGGAAGAAGCCAGATTGTTATGAGAGGAGAGGAAAAGCTGGAAAATACTAAGGTCATAAGGCCATAAAGCAAAAATGTCATCAACACAGCAAAGCCAGAGAGAGGGATGAGTATCAATAGAAGGAAGAAAAGTAGTCCATGTAGAAATTGGCAAGAACAGGGAAGAGAGTGTTATGATCCCTTCTAATGAGTTCGAGGAAAACATCAGTAGGAAGCGAGAGAGGAAGAAGACCCTCAGTCGCCTTCTGTTTAAGGAAAGAGAGAACGTCATCAGAGGGGAATATTAGTAAACAGAGATTAAGCATCTTGCAGGAGGGCTGCAGGTGCTGTCTTTCTGTGACAAAGATTGGCTGGAGAAAAAGGGTCAAGATAAGGCATCAGAGTTTTTGCTAGCCAGTAGGCAAGAGGATAGACGACAGAACCCCTTGAAGAAATGATAGGCGAAGAGGAACACCAGGACCCACCGACCAGGTCAAGTACCCAGAAAGGTAAGCTTCCCAAAACAAACCCCTATTCTGATTAAGAAATTGCTACTGAGAGCAGAACTAGTGGACAGACCTCCCCAAACAAAAACGAGCAAACGATGTCATCGTCGCATGACATCGCCGCCTTCTGCGCAGTTCCCCCCTCCCCGGGAGGGGGAAGGGGGAGCCCCAGACCCCTCGTGCCGGCTACCCACGACTCCAGTTCTGAGGCTGGATATCAAAAAACCAGCGTTAAATGTAATTAAACGCCATTTTCTGGGTGAGCCTCAGGGGCTCCCTGGAGCTTATCGGGCTAATGTATGTTATTGTAGATCGGGACATTAGCTATAAAGTTCAGACCTACCAGGGACTAGCGCCAGAACCTGGCCCCTTCAGAGAGGTTTCAGGGAGCAATGGCCCTGGAAAACCCCATTATGGTTGGGGGTTTTCCTTATCTGCTATCGATCGGGGTTAGGCACCCAGAAAGGTAGGCATAACAAAACAAACCCCACATGGTAAGAAACTACAACAAAAACCGAACAGAGGGGTAGAAACTCCCCACAATCCAAAGGAAACAATCAAACAATCAATTTGCTGCCTCGTGGTCGTCTGCGCAGCCCTGCCCTCCCCTCCCCTTGAAGAGGAGGGGGACCCCCGAACCTCACTGCGACGGCTGCCTTTATTTCGAAAACTAGGCTTCAACCAACGCGAAAAAACCCCACCGACCGGATAGGAGGGAGGGTAGTCAGAGAGCCTCCGAGGCTCACCCAGAAAAACGCGTTTCATTACATTCAACCCTGGTTTTCTGTGGGAAGCCCCTACAGCTCCCTGGAGCTACATACCCAAAGAGAAGTAAAATAGGGACTTACCCGGGAGGCGGCGGCCACAAACTCCTCAATGCGAAGTCGAGACAACTGGCTGCAACCTGCGACCCAAAGCAACACAAGAACGCCGAGGAGCAGGGACGTTCACCAAATAACGGGCAGCCAGGACCCCGTTAGACTTCCAAAATCCACGCGCCCGAATATGAGCCCAAGACATGTTACCAA